TGGCCTCCACACTGAACTACCTGCCTGCACATGAGCAGAGCAGACTGCAGATAACTGTAGATGATTTTCTCAGTACAGTTTCATCTGTAGCCCTCACTGTGCTTGTCAGCTCTTGCCTGGGGGAACACTGATGGTGGATCCCTCCTCTGTTAGCCTGTGACAAGTTACTGTGTCCCTGGAAAGCACAGCTGGTGTATGTAACCACCTTCTTTTCCAGATCCACATTGACATTCCAAGGACCAACCCACTCATTCCCCTCTTCCAGCAGCCACTTGTCCAGGAGGTAAGGGGGGGTGAAGCTGCTGCCCTGCATTTGCCATGGGATGTGTGTGTGGAGTGAGGCCAGCACTGCTTCTAGAGAGTTAACTCTGTGGGGAAACTTCCCTGCCTGGCAGCTCCTGATGCAAATACCTCCTGGAACTGTCTGGTCTTGTCCCATGTTTCTGAAAGATATCAAACTTAGAGCTTGGGGATTATGAAGTCATCTCTTCTTTGGCAAGATGTAGCCAAGAGCTGGTAAAAAACCTGAAACTTTTTTTTTTTTTTTTTGGAGACAAATTGAAGGTGTTTGAACCAGAACATAGGGTAGTTCTGTTTTGCTTCAAAACCTCTTTCATGGGAACAACCTGGGCAGGGATGGGTTCAAGAGGTGGCCAGGAGGTGAGGGCACCTGTCCTCTCTGGAAAGAAGCTCAGTGTGTGTATGTGTATGTCAGAGCATGGTGTCCAGGGGGTTGGGGCACTCTGGGAATGTTGTTGTGATGAGGGAGGCTGTCCTGTTGGGAAGTGTCCTGATCTGTGGTGTTTTACTGGAAGTACTGTGCTGATACCTCATCTTCCCACCTGATGTTCAGCCAAGGAGGCTGTTCTGCCAAGAGGCACCCTTGTCCTGTGGATATTAAGCTGTCTGGGTCTTGAAAAGTTGAGTCTGCATTTCTTCAGGCAGAGGTTTTGATGAGGAGCCTGGACTGTCTTGTCTGAAGAGTGGGCTGGCCTGAGTGTGGGCTCTGTGGATGACACAGGAGTCTCTCCTAGGACTTTTATGCTTCTAACATGACCTTACTGCTGCAGAAGAGCCTGTCAGTGCATGGTCTGCTCTCCCTGAGCTTAGCAGTTATGCTTTTCTGCCTTCCCTTTGTGCATGGCTAATGCAGGTACCTGCTTTCCCTGGTTCTTCCCTAGATTTTTGAGAGAATCCTGTTTATCTGGGCCATTCGCCACCCAGCCAGCGGCTATGTGCAGGGCATCAATGACCTGGTCACCCCGTTCTTTGTTGTGTTCCTCTCTGAGCACGTGGGTAAGTGACACTTGCTGCTCTAAGCGCTCCTGGAGTGGGGTTTGAAGAGGTGTGAAATGCTGGCATGAGGAAAACTTGCTCTACTGGAGGAGAGGATGTTGTGCTCTTCATTCAGAGTGCCTGGGCCACGCTGAAGTTGTAGTGTGACCTCTTGCAGTGTCTCTGCTCCCTGGTTGAGTTGACTTCAGTTTCATAATCTTGCTGAGCCCCACAGAAGGTGAAATGCTAGGGGTGGGTTTGCATTTCAATACACTTAACAACCTCTCAGCTTGGAGGGGATTGAGATCTTCTAGGCACTGAGGGAGCTCAGGCAAAGTCCTGATAGAGTTGGAGGAGGGTCTTGCTCTCAAAGCTTGGACTTGGCAGGCAGTTCCTGCTCTTGGAGGAATGAGTGAAGTTTAAAGAGACCCTGCTGAGAATATAAAATAAACTGTTTAAATACAGATTCCTTCCCTTGCTGCTAGTACAGGTGTGTTTCTCAAACAGAGTTTCAGAAAGCAAACTGGCTTCTCCCTGCTGCTTCTAAATTTCTTGTCAGCCACTTGCTTTTAGCTGGAGATCAAATCCTTTCTACCCATGGTGTTTTTATTCTTGCTCTAGCTGTGTTTTGGAGTTGACATTAATGCTGGGATGTCATAATCCCTGTGTTAAAGGCTCTTTGTGTTCATTGTAAATAGAAGGAAAAAGGAATTTATAAGACTGTATTAGTGACAGAAATCCTGTTGAATTCATATTTTTAAGATCTGATCCAAAAGTTGAAGTGAGTGAAGGCCTAAGGCTTTGTAAACTAGCACTGATCTGCCTCTGCTGAGGGCCTTGGGAAGGGCTGAGCCACCTTGTTTGCCACTGAGACAGCCAGTGTGGGCAGGGTTGATCCCTGGGAAGTGCAAAGGAGAAGGCACCAAGTGTGGCTCTGATGGCAGCTGGAGTGAAATCCCTTCTGTGGGAAGAGCAGATCAGATCTGAGCAGGTTCCCTTTGAGAGGCTTCTCCTGTGGCCTGAGCAGCATCCATGGCATTCAGTCCTGGCAGAGGCCACTTGCTCAGGATTGATTTATTGGCTCAGGAGCAGGGCTGTGCACAGTGAGTGACCTAGGCAAGGAGGGAGCTGGTGTGAATCATCAGAGCTGCCTGTGGCTGCCTGGTGTGACTTCCTGCAGTCCTGCAGCCTGTTGGGTGTCAGGGATTATCTCTCCCTGCATGAGGCAGCAGAGTTCATTCTGCATTGGCCCTGTTGGCTCAGTGCTGGGTTTGTGCTTCTCACCATCTTCCAGGGCTGTTTTCACCCCTGATTAAAGCTTCCTCTCTGAATGTTTCCAGCTCTCTCTGAAACTTGGGTTGCAGGGAAAAGCTCCTTTTCAGGAGAGCAGTTGTGCTGAATTTGGCCAAGCAACAACAACCCTTCTGTCTCCAGAGCCTGGGATTCAAAGCCAGCCATGAGGTCACAAGCTGTTGTGGTGGCTGCCTGCTGCCTGATTTCTGTCGAGTCAGAGTTAAAAGACAAATCAATAATTGCCTTTAATTTCCATAGGGAAGAGCTGGCAGTGGTCAGTCCCTCATAACCCCTCTGCAACAGGATTTAAGTCATTGATTTGGAGCCTCCTCTCGTGGCTGCCTTTGCAGACAGGCCCCTGAGGAGCTGGGCAGGGCAGGGCTGAGGGCTCTCCATGCTGGATCACTGATTCTCAGCATCCCTGGAGCCTGGATCAGCTCAGTCTGTGCTGCACCCAAGTCCCTGCAGCAGGAGAGGCCTTGCACAGTTTGGTAATCCTTGTGCAGCACACCCCAAGGGACAGCTCACCTTTCTGTGGGAAGTCTCTTGTTCAAAGGAAATTCTCATTGTATTTTTTAAGCTTTATCTTCCTTGGGAAAGGGAGCAGCCTGTATGGCACACACACCTGTGTGTCACCTGTGGCTATTCCCATGCTCACAGGGGAGTGTACAACTGGCCTGGAAAATTTTCCTTTACATTTTCTGGAAAGCTTGCTCTGGGAAGTTGGCACCAGCACTGGCTCCATCCTCAAATCTCTTCTCTCCTTTCAGAGCAGGTGCTTTGTTGAGCACAAGATCCCAAAGGAACCCAGTGTGCTGCCAGCTGGCTCCTCTGCTTGGCTGCCCACCGTGTCCCCTGGGATGTTGGCATTGGAGCTTCTGAGGGGCTGTTCCCCACAGCAGGGACCACTGCAGCTCCCTGGGGATCGTGGGGTGCCTGTGTGACAGAGCTGGCAGCCAGAGGTGGGAGATCACAAGCTGGTGATGTTGCTCAGCTGTGAAACACAAGGCCAGGATGACTCCCTGCTCTGCTGCTGCTCAATCCAGGAGCTGCTCCTGGAGCAGTCTCACAGGCTGGTCCCACTGCCAGGCTCATTGTAGACTTCTGATCCATCCTCCCCTGCTTTGGGCAGGTATTGCATTTGCAGACAACAAATCATCTTTTCTATGGATCACTTAAAATCTCTCTTTGGAGCTCACCAGCTGATTGGTGTGTCTGATTGATAATTTCTCCACTATTTCTGTTACCAGCCCAAGGCCTGGAACATCCTTTGGTGGGCTTGTCTGGCATTCCCTCCAAGGGCTGGAAAAGGGGAAAATGGCAATGGAGAAAGGGAGGTGGTCTGGGCAGGGAATGGCTCCTACCTTAGCAGTCACTTCCAGGGAACAGTTTGGCAGCTTCCTTTGTTTGGAGTTGACACAAACAATGAAACAGTCAGCAGTTACCCAGCAAGCTCCAGGCCCTTGTGTGCAGAGACATTAAATACATTAAATACATTAAATACATTAAATACATTAAATACATTAAATACATTAAATACATTAAATACATTAAATACATTAAATACATTAAATAGCCTCGGGGCAGGGTGGGAGCTGTTTGGCCACACTGCAGGGCCTTCCACTTGATGCCTTTCCATCATCACCATGGAAGGTGCAGGAAGGATCTGGGCCTATCCAGGTCCTGAAGGAGGGGAACTGAAGGGGAAACATTCACAGGGAGCAGTTTTTCCCAGCTGCCCTGGATGCTCTGGGGACTGGATGAGCCCATTATTAACCTGCATCTTGCAAGCTTGTCTGAAGGCATCCCACTGCCACTGTTTGCCTCTTCTTTCTGAGCAATGCCTTGAATCCTGTGTGCCCCTTTGACCAGCTTCAGAAAACACCAGCTAGGCTGAGGCAGGAAGAAGCTTATCCCCAGAATTTTCCAGTCCTTGTCTGAACTCCTCAGCCCCCTTCTGCCAGTTGGGACCAGTTGCTTTTCCCAGTCTGGATCCAGACCTGCTGCTGCTTCCAGGTGCTGGGCAGACTGCAGTGCACCCTTGGCAGGTAGGACAGGTTTAGCTGTGGTGTTTTCCCCTTTGCACAGCATGGCAAGCTGGCTCATCTCCTGTGATCCTCTCCCTGCATCCTGCATGGGCACCACTGCCTCAGCTGCTTGGCAGCAAACATGGAAGCTTTGGGCCCCTGCCACTGACTGCTCCATAGCTGGAGTAATTCTTCCTCCTGGCTGATGCAGGTGCTGCTTAGGAAGAGCTTGAGGGAGGTGTTGAGGCTGCAGGAGCAGCTGAGCTTGTTGTTGGTGCCCTCTGGATGGGCACAGGCTCACAGCACCTCTGGGGAGGATGGGGATGTAGAGAGATGCTCTGGCAGCTGAGGAATTGGGGCAGGAATGACAGCTCAGCACCTCCTGGAGGAAACATATCCCTGTTTCTCCAGGTCATCAGAGAGGGCATAACAAGCACGGGGACACTGAGCTTTCAGTCCCCCCCAGCTCAGGTCCTGCAGCCCCTCTGCTGAGTCACTCCCAGCTCTCAGGGCTGTGTTTGCGTTTAGGATGGCAGTGACAGAGCTCAGAGGTGAGTTCAGCATCCCCAGGTGTGTCAGAGCTGGCCCTGCAGTCTCTCCCAGTGCTCTCTGCCTGAGTGACACCACTTCCATCCCTGATTCCAGGCCTTGCATTAGAGGTTGTCCTGGCTTTGGGACCTGTTTGGCACCACACCAGGGCTGTGGAGGGGAGCAGTGCCATGGGAAGTATTGATCTTATTTGCTTCTGGCTGGCTTTGTCACTAAATCCTAATCCCAGTCCAATGAGGTCACTGCAGGAGCAGAAACTTGGGTGAAGGCAATGGGGACACTTGTGTCACCACTCATCCTGACCTCCAGTTTTGGCCTGGCCTGGGGCTCACTGCAGGCAGTGCAGACTTGCCCAGAGCTGTTGGAATTTGTGAGCTGAGGCTGGGCTTAACTTTCCTCCAGCTCTCCAGTCCTGCCCTGAGCCCCCACTGCCAGCATAGGAGGAGTCATTAAAGCCTCCCTATGGAAAGCAGGGATGGGGCTGCATGGAGCCCTGGCTTCTCTGGTCTTTTCTTTCTCCTGTGTCCTCCTTGAGCCCTTTTGAAATGTCACTCACAGGAACTTTGCTTTTGTTGAGCCCTTGTTGTCCCTGGGCTCAGTGTGGCACTGCTGTAGGTGGCTGTCACCAAGCCAGTGGCTTCCTTTCAGTCCCTGTCAGAGCCATATGTTGGGTATTTCCTTTCCATGAGGCCTCTTCAGAGCTGCTGCTAGGCAGGTGTTTGTGCTGAGCCACACTCCAGACACCTGGGGTTTGGTTCAAAGCCTCTTGCAATGTGTGTTGGCTCCTGCTGGGGATCTCCTGCCCCTGTTTTGCTTTGACATGGGGGTGCTGCCAGAGCTGCTCCTCTTGTCCCTGTGCTGGTGCAAGCAGCAGTGTTCCAGTGTTCCCCATCACCTGGGCAGGTCCCCACAGCCCCTTCTCCATCATGGTCCTCCATCCACAGGCAGGTCTTTGCACAGGGCTCATACCCTCAGGGCTGAGCCTGCCCCTGCCACCCATCCTGGGTGTGCACATGTCCCTGTCCTGCTCCTTTGCCTGCCCGTGCACCTTCCTCTCTGTGAGACCTCAGAAAGGAGATGCACATCAAATAGATTTTACCTTCCTTTCTCCCTACCTGCACCACGTGAGAGTGGCTGTAGAGAAGCCAGCAGAAGAGTGACAGTTTTGGATGGTGATGATGATGTGCAGCTGGAAAAGAGCTTTGCTGCTCTTTTCTGCAGTACAAGATTGTGAGATTAGTGGGTTAAGCTCTTGTTTGTCCCTAAAGCTCCTGGTGGCAGTTAGCTCTGGAGCTGAGCCCTGCCCCACAGGAGAAGCAGAGGTGGGAGCAGTGTTGGAGTCACTGGCTCTGTCCTGCCCTTCCTCCTCCAGGCAGGATCTCTTGGTGTTGGTTTTCCCCAGCCTGTGGCAGTGCCTGCAGTGTATCTGAGCCAAGAGCCTGGCTCCAGCCCCGAGCCCCATCTTCTCCTTCTCTTTTTTCCAAGGAACATCAAAGATGCTTGCCAGGATTTCTGAGCCTCTGAAATTGGAGATGGGCCAGCTTAGCCCTGTAGTTTGATCTGATTTAGTGGCATGACAGCAGCGTGGTGGGTGCTCTCTTCCCAAGGAGAAAAGGGAGAGAACTGCTGGGTCAGTGAAGCCAGGAGTCAGACCTGTGTCTCCTGACTGTCTCCCCACCTCGGTCCCACTGCCAGCAGGTTAAGGTGAGCCTGGCTTGGAGCAGGTGATTGTGCTCCAAGCTCAGCCAGCACCATTGTCATTCCATCCTCAGGCATCTCTGCCTTACACACCCTGGGGGTTCACAGGCCCATGTAAAGCAAGGAACCTTTTTCACTCTGTGAGAACCCTTTGGGGACAGAGCTGCCACTGACCCTTGTGCTGTCAGACTCCCCCTTGGTTTGAAAAACAAACTTGCCCAAATCTCTGCTTCCCCCACACCGAGGCTCTTCCGTGCATGGGGCAGCTTCTGCTTGCTGGAGTTCTCCTGCCAGCCAAGCTCCAGGAGAGCAGAAACCCCACAAAGCTGAGCCCTGTCTGCCACATGGCCCAGCTGTCCCTGTGCTGGATTTAACTCAGTGCCTTCTTTGCTGCCCTGGAAGATCTCTGCATGCTCTTGGGTCCTTGCAGCTATGCCTGAGGGTCCTGCTCTCCTAGAGAGGTTCCTGAAGCTTTGGCAGCTCTTCCTCATGAGGAAGCCTCTGGGCTGGGTGTCTCTGCTGTGCTTTGGTCCTGGGATGATGCTGATGAATCGAGCTGGGAGCAGGAGCTGGCAGCTCCCTTGTGCTGCCCCAGGCCATGGGCAGTGTTTCCTTCCCTGGTTTCTGGCTGCACTGAAGGTTTCCCCTCTCCCAGTTCTCCTTGTGGTGCTCCCAGCTGGCACGGACCTGCTGTCCCCCAGGGCAGGCCTGCTCTGGCTAAAGGGGTTCCAATGTGCCAGAGCTTTGTCCCTGCACAGCCCTTGTCCCAGAAAGGAGGGCAAAAATGCTATGGGATCCCTCCTGTGGTTCCCTGGGGAGCTGGACTGGGTTCAGGGCAGCAAGACCTGAACAAATCTTTTGGGGTTCTTCAGCTCAGCTGGAGAAAGAGGTGAGTGCTGTTCTGTGCCAGGCACACCCCTGACACACAGGGAGTGTTGTAGTGTCTCCTGCAAAGCTTTGGCCTGACAAAGCCCCTGGGATTGTCCCATGTCCCTGGTGTCCCCCATCTCCCTGATGCTCTTCCCTCTTTGTTTTGCAGAGGAGGATGTGGAAAACTTTGACGTGACAAACCTGTCCCAGGATGTTTTACGGAGCATTGAAGCTGACAGCTTCTGGTGCATGAGCAAGCTGCTGGATGGGATCCAGGTGAGCCTCTAGGGCCACAGGAATTCCTTTGCCCTCGCTGGGGTGGCAGTGTAGTTGTCTCCTCTCCCTGTCTGGGTGAGTATTCTGCATGCTCTAGCATTCATGGAGCTAAATGTCAGTGAAATGCTGGGGAGGTGGGTGCTGTGGCTGTTGAGATGGCCCCATCCTGACCAGGGAACTCAGAGCAGGCAGATGTGGTGCTCATGATAATCTCATCCCAACTGTCCAGCTGCTGATCTGGGCTCCATCATTTCTAACTGTTGTTAAAGCTGCTGCTTCTGACTTGGGGCCTCTCTCCATAGGACAATTACACCTTTGCACAGCCAGGGATCCAGAAGAAAGTGAAAGCCCTGGAGGAGCTGGTGAGCAGGATCGATGGTAGGTGACACGGGAGCCTGCTCAGGTTTGTCACAGCAGAGGGAGGCCTCCTTTGGGACAACTCTCAGGGCAGGGATAGACACTTCTGACAACACTCATGGAACCAGAGCAGGGGAGGGTCAGCCAGAAACTTCCTGGTGACAGCACAGGGTGAGGAGAGGAGGAATTTGGGAGAAAAAGGTCTCAGCCTGGAAGTGTGTGAAAGGCACTGTGCTGTGAGCAGCATGCAGGAGCTGGGGCACTGTGAGCCCCAGGTGTGTAAGTGAAATGTGCTGTTTCAGAGCAGGTACATAATCACTTTAGGAAGTACGAGGTCGAGTACCTGCAGTTTGCCTTTCGCTGGATGAACAATCTGCTCATGAGGGAGCTCCCCCTCCGCTGCACCATCCGCCTCTGGGACACCTACCAGGTATGCACTGGCCTCCCTGTCACTGTCCCCAGTGTCCCTGTCCCCAGTACAGACCCACAGAGGTCTCCTGGCACCAGCTGGGGTGCTGAGGGAAACAAAGCAGTGTGGGCCAGGATGTTTGCAGGCAGCTGGGTGGAGGGTGGACATCTGTGGCTGGGGGGTTGTTCTCCAGCTGAGCTGCAGGAGCTCACCCCGAGTTTTGCTGTCCACAGTCAGAGCCAGAAGGATTCTCCCATTTCCACCTGTACGTCTGTGCTGCCTTCTTGATCAAGTGGCGGAAGGAGATCCTGGATGAGGAAGACTTCCAAGTAAGAGCCTGAGGTTGGGGGTGATTCCCTGGGGAAGTAGAGGGGAGAGAATTGCTCTGGTTGGGAGCCCAGTGTGGACGTAGACAACTGTCAGAGCTGGCTCCAAGGTCATCTGTTCTCAGGAGCTGTGTCTAGAAGTAACTTGAGCCTTGGTGATCAGGACAGAGAACTGAGCTATAGGGGGGTTCAAACATCCCATTCCAGCTGTGATCTCAGTGTTTGCCCTCCTGTGTCCAGCTGTAACCCTATAGCAGCACCCTTTATTGCAATGGGCTTGGGGTGCTTCACTGGTTCAGATCTAGATCCAAGCACATCTTGATGTTGTCCCTGAGCCTTTCAGACCTGCGAGTGTGGTGGGCAAAAGTTACTGAGCTCTGCTACCACTGCTCAAGGCTGGCCCCAAGCCTGCACTGGATCTGTGCTCTGCCTTCAGCCTCTCCAAACTAAGCATGTTCCCCTCTTCCAGGGTCTTTTGATGTTGCTACAAAACCTGCCCACGATACACTGGGGTAACGAAGAGATTGGGCTGCTGCTGGCTGAAGCCTACAGACTCAAGTACATGTTTGCAGATGCCCCAAACCATTACCGCCGATAGGTGCCCAGACTGGCTCCTCCCTCCCGTGCCCACCCCTCGTCCTGGCCCGATCTGATCACTGTGGCATTTTTGTCATCCCAAGTCCTCAGACACTCCAGCCAGGAGCTGCTCCTTGCTGTACAAAGCTCACCTGAACTCTTGTCTTAACTCTGAACGTGTGCCTGTCTGCCACTCCATGCGCCTGGATGTGCCATTTTGACGACTCTCAGTATTTCACTCCGTGCTGGTGGCTCACGCCAGGAAGGGAGGCTTCAAGGGGCTGAGGGAGAACATGGGGGAAGTTTTCCAGATAAACTGAGCCGGGGTCGAAGCCCTCCTGTCCTCTCCACTCCTGTCCTGGCCTTGTCTGGCCGGGACCACTTCGGCTTTGCTGCCTCCTGCTGCCCTGCACCACGTGCGCTGCCCCATCTGCTCCCTCCTCTCTTCTGACACTTTTGCGCCAACTCCCAGATGAAAATGCCTTATCAGAGACCTGCCTGGCTGCAGAATCCTTCCCCACCAGGGTGGCAGGGCAAGAAGTTTCTCTCAGGGCCTACCTTCGCTCCGAGGGTCCAGAGACCCCCCAAGCACTTTGTGGGTTCACAAGAGAGTCCCTCGTGCCTGCCCTCCCTCCTCCTCTCCATCCTCTTCGCCTACCTCTCCCCCAGGGCAGCAGGGCAGGCACAACGGGGGCCACGACCACTCCATCCACACACACACCTGGAATGACACGTGCCAGCCTGGTGGAACTTTTGGTGACTGATGTTGAGTGAGTACAGCCCCATGCAGTGTGTGGGGAAGGCACAGAGGGGGTGCTGGTATGGGAACAACATCTCTCAAAAACCTCCTGACAACGTCCCCACTCCGAGGCGTTCTGTGTATATTGTGTTCTTGTGTATATGGGTCAAAGATGTACAATATATGTCTTCTCTTTGTAGCAGATTTTATATTTATAACATGAACCCCTTGTTCTCCCCATCCTCTCCACGCCTGAGAAGGATGCCTGGCTGTGGTGGTGTAGGGTTTTGAACCCCTCTGGAGGTGGGGGGTGGTTCCAGAGCTGCAGGTTTCTACCCTGACGTGTTCTGGCAGTGCTGGCTCTGCCCGAGGTGTGACAGAAACTCATCTCAGGCTTGGGGCAGTGGAGGAGATGGCAGCTCCCAGCAGGAGCAAGGGAGAGGCCACTGGAGACACAGGGTGTGCAGTGCTGGCAGTGCCTCCCCGGGCCCTGCAGGGCAGGGCTGTGCTGGGGCTGCACTGCAGGGAGGAGCAGTCCTGGATGCAGGAGCAGTCCTGGATGCAGCTCTGGTGCTGTCCCCCAGCATCCCTGTGGGCATCCCTGGCTGGGCTGCCGTGGGTGCTGTTAACTCGAACCTCTGGGGGTGTTTCACGGCCATTCCCTTCCGTGGGCAGAACCTCTGTGCTGTGCCCTGGGCTGGACTGGGAGCTGGGTCTGGGCCACCCTGGCTTTCTGCCAGCACTCCTGCTGGGCCACCAGGCCTTTCCTGGCAGGGCTGGAGGCTCCCAGTGCCTCCACCTTCCCTTTCTGGTCCCACTGGGGAGAAAGCAGCAGGCAGTGAGGCCGGGGCCAAGCATGTGACAGGCAGAACCTTGTTGCCAATAAAACTCCAAACAGTATCTCAAGAAATCACTTTCCTAAGGTGCAGTTGTTTTTCTCAGGCATTTGGACTTTATGTTTGTGTGTGCCTTTTGTTGTTTTTCTCTGAGAAAACAGAGTGATGCTTAGTTTAACCTCATTTTTAAAAGAAAGAATTAAAAAAACTCCAAACAAAAAAAAAACCCCTACAAACAAGGTGGCACCTCTCCATGCAGCACCCAGCTGTGTCACCCACTGCACAGGGGACACAGGACAAGAAACCCTCCCTTGTGTCACCTCCCTGTCCTTGCTCTTCCCACCTGCACCTGGGACCACTGGGATGATGAAAAGCCATCATGGTAAGTTCTGGATTTCAGGACAACATTAGCAAGGAAGAAATCTTTCTGAGGGTGGTGTTTTGTTGTTTTGGTATTTTTTTTTCCATACATTAGAACATTTATTTCTCAGAGAGAAAATATAGTCTCAGACAGTCAGATTATAGTAGGTAAAATTAGCTTTTTTTTTCTTTACAAGCATAGATTTTCTTATTACTTCTCTTATACCATCTGATATAAACAATTCTAGAAAGCAAATAAACTCACTTTCTACAATAAATAGAGCAATCTGTGCTTTACAGCAGACTGACAGTAACATTTAGGTTCTGTAGCAACAACAGGATATCAGCCAATCCAAATTCTAAAATCATTTAAAAACCAAACAAAACAGAAAAAAAAAATAAAATACCAACTCCCAAGACCTTAAAACATATACACAGGTCACTAGTCCACAGCTGAGCTACCACCTGGAAAAGTGTATGTTCCTTTAAATAAATTACACTGTGTGCATATAAAAGACCCAGCAACACAACTGAGGACTTCAAGAATGGTGACAATAGGTCTAAATAATTTAGAACATTTTACAACTATATACACAACATCCTTCCCTAGTCACACTCCATGGGCATTACTATCACTATTAATATTTTTACAAACTCCTATGCCCCATCTCTATGTTACAGGAATCTTAAAATTCCTTCAATGCAATTCCATGCCCCAATGTATAAGAAGTGGTATTTTAAAAAAGTAGAGCAAGTAGAAATGGCAGTGATTACTCCCTACTATTCATTAATTATTATTATTTTGACTCCACATTCTCTTCAGTATGAAAAAGTTAAAAATAATTTAAAAATACTGAGTTAAAAAGCAAAATGATGATATTCAATCTACAATCTTGCTTTGCACCTTTGGCTCTTTAAAATGGGAAAGCAAAGAGGGATAACAACAGAAGAGATCAGAGAAATCATAAAGTCCTTGGCTAATAGAAAAGATTTAGTCACCAAGTTCCCAAACATGAGTTTGTCCCTGTTTTTTTTTTTTTTGCAATGCAAACCCAAACCAACAGGGATTGTCTGGGTTTACCTGGATGACAACACTGGAGACCCACACACCAGGGAAGGATGTGCACGTGTGGGAGAAGGTGAAACAGCAGAGGGGTCGTGTGCTCTGGTCAGTGCTTGGTTTCAGTCCAAAATGTGGCAGAGGAAAACAGGGAGACACAAAAGAGAGGGGGGGAAAAAGGAAGAGGAGCTTTACACCAAATGTGCATAAACCAACACAAAAGATGCATCTCCCTCCAACCCTGATCAACCTCAGTGCCTGCAGAGCTGCTCCAGCTCAACAGACACCTCCAAAATTACTTCTTAAAAAAAGGAAGTTACCTTTTCTTAGGTACTGTGCTAAGTCATGATATGAAATGTAACTGCAACAAGCAGAGTGACAGAAATCTGAACTGAAATGTGAAACAACAAAATCCATTTCTAGGACATACATATAGACACAGATCAGGTAATTTGATTTTCATCTTTAAAGCTCTGTGCATCTGTGCATGAAACTGTGCAGGGGGGGAAGGTTACCAAAATCTCAAGCTTTTCTAAATGCAGTGAGAGAAATCTAAACATGAAAACACGATGGATGTAGGCAGGAGAATCACAATCAGAGCTCCCAGCTACGATTCTGTGCAGTTTTTATGTGATAGGACAATGTCATTTAAAGAAAAATGAAAAGGCCAATGATGGTTAAGGTAAATTTGGCACAAGAAAGCCCAGTTGGGATTTCTGTAAAGAATCCTGGGGGTGCCAGATTCCCAGGAATTACCTGGGACTGGCTGACGACTCAAAACCCTGGCAGTCCAGGAGAGGCAGGGGCAGGGACGGTGCATGAGGTCCAGACATCCAAGTGCTGTGTGCTCTGCTCACTGCAGCAACTCACCTTGGCTCCTGTCACCTGTCAGCTTTTCCTACCTACCTTAGTCCCTGTAGACTACATTTCATCTCCTGCCAGCTCTTCAGCGAGACACATTCAGGAAGAAGCTGGACAAGGGTTTGGTTTTTTTTTTGGCACATTTCAGGGTACTCCGAGGAGCGCTGCCGGCTGCTGGAGGCGCTGCACTCTGCAGTGCAGTGAGCTGGAGGGGTGCAGGAGCAGAGGCCGGGCCCAGCAGCCCCTCACAGGTAGGTGGCAGTGGGGATGAAGGGGTTGTCCCCCTGCACTCGGCTCAGGTGGATCATGGCTCTGTCGTAGGCCACCTGCACCGATTTGCGGATGCTGGTTTTGCGTCCCTCCATCATCTTCAGCTTGTCCACGGTGTCATCCACGCCCAGGGGAAAGACTTTGTCCCGTGGCAGCCACTGCCTGCAGCAGAGAGGAGTGCAGAGACCTGTCACCTCCTCCCCAGGAGCAGTCACACCCATGTCATGGATTTATTTGGCGTTAACACCCCACAACAACGGTACCAATGTTTAAATCCCTGCATTTGACATAGAGGAGCAGCCAAAGTGCCTTCGGAGCACAGTCCTCTCCTTGGAGTCCTTACTCAAAGCTTTCAATGCTCCTTGGAGCTCAGGGGAAAGGTGGAAATTCCTGTGTTCCACACAGCAGGAAATACAGGGATGTCCATGGTGCAAAGTGAGGTTTTATCCCCAAGAAAGCTCTGCCTTGTTCCAAGAAGCTGCAAGCATTAATTCAGGTGGGTACAACTATCTGAGCATGTTCCAGAATCAGGATGGCACATCCCAAGCCCTAAGGATTACTTCAATTGCAAATGCCTTGTCTGCAGCAAGTTTTTATTGTGTGGCCATTTGCCCAAGTTAACTGGACACTGAGAAATGTGTCACCCATCTCTCCTAAGGACATCCAACCCCTTGCAGCTCCACCTCAGCCACTGCTGGCACAGCTCAGTGCAACTCCCACTCAGCCAATATGGGCAATCCAGAGCAGCTCAGCTTCTCTTCACACAAAGATGACAATTTCAGTCTTGGCCACCCTTCTGCAGCATCACTGAAGTCAATCAAAATTGAATCTGACTCTAAGAGGGGTTTTTAGTACTTTCCTGAGCCACCTCAGCTTCCCACAAACTGCAAACAAGGCTCTGAGTGGCCTCTGAAGAGTGTAAACATGCAGCAGAGCTTGTATTCAACAAGAGCAGGGCAAAGCTAAGGACATGTTTACTTTTATTGGGAAGATAACTTCAATTACAATCTTGGATTTAAGATTTTGAGAACTGATGACTACAGCAACAGGAAACATGGCAGTGCCATTGATTTTCTGCTACAAATCATTAGTCTCTCTTTGCAGAACATGCTCTTTATCAAGTGGTTCCTGTAATCAGGAACAGGGGAACAATGCAGTGTGCTAATAAAAAGCCTCAGGAATTTGTCTCCTGACATCTCTTTTACCCAGAGGACACAGACATCCTCACCAAGTGATGTAAACCTCATCTCCTTCCCAACTTCCCAAGCAGATGGCAAATACTTCTCCCTTTATTGCACCTTGTCCCCATCTCTTCAGAGCCATAAAACTCTGCAGAGCCCCAAATGTCAGGGGGAACCTCCCCCTTGCTGCTTTACCCCTCTGTGTGTTTGGTTCTGCTCTATCTTCCCTCCAGCCCTGGCAATGTTCACCCCCTTCCTCCAGCCTTTCCCTGCTCTTCCTGGAATGCCAGCACAACCCCTCCCCAGGGGAAGGGCTCTTCAAACACCACAAGGCTTCTTCTTCAACTCCTGCTATGTCATTTTACAGAGGCAGCAGAAGAAAAGGCAAGCCCAGCTCTCTTCTGTCCCCACAGCATCCCCTTTGCCCACAGCACAAACTGTGTTTCTGTGATCCCAGCTCCTGCCTCCCGTGTCTCTGCTCATGCTTCATGTTCCCATGTGGTATTTGCTGGTTTAATAACCCAGTGGGCTCAGCATGCAGCTGTCATCTCTTCCTCTTCCAGCATAAATCTCCAGTTTTACAAATTTCCCATTGTTTCAGACACAGATTTCAAAGACCTATTGGTAGTTTTAAGGCTCTTCACTGGTTTATGGCTCATTATATCTGCCTGGTTGACTCTTACCATGTGAGCATGGTCAGCAACTAATCCTAAAATCAGCAGATTCATCCTGTCTGAAGTGCAACAACAAAACACCTTCAGATATTTTTCTTGCTTTGAACCTATGTGCTTATATCTGTATTTTCCATCTTAAATAAAAACCTTGATTTGAAAGCTGCTGGTACTCAGCACCCCTGAAAAACCAGCCAAGTCTAAATATGAAATAAACCCTACATTTTGAAAATGTTAGCCTGGAAATTTTTGGCAAATCTTTTTTGCAGCATTGGAACAGACTGCTGGTGTTCTGAAGTCAAATGCTCTCTGTAATTTGCTGTAAATTCTCTTCATGTGCCTCAGTATTTTTGTGGTGATGTGAGCTTTGGGTGAAGGATGCTGGGCTGTTCATTGTGGAAGTGGAGCTGTTGTGCTCTTGGGCCAGGAAAAGCAGCCTGTGTTCCTTATTTAGACTCCTCTTGCCTGCTGCATGTTTAAATTCCCCATTTACATGTAACATCATCATAATCCCTGCATGCTCCCACATCCCCAAAGATTTTGTTAAATCTTCTCACTCACACTGAGCTGTGTGCACACACTCACCAGGTTCTCTTGTTGTCAAAGAAAAGGACAAGGAAGAGTTTTTCTCCTGCCTCTGTCTGCCTCTGCTCCCCCAGCTTCAGGACATCCATGGGGGGCACAGGGATGGGGACCCCGTTGTGCAGCAAACCCTCACGTGGCATCTTGGGGTCGATAATCTGGGGACACAGGGGGAGGAAAATTAGCACAAAATCCTGCCCAGCAATGAACAGAATGCATGATTTTGTCTGTTCTCTCAGTGTATCCAAGCTAGAGAAATTAAGTCTATTTTAGGTGGGTAAGCAAAGTTGCTTGTTTTCAGTGTTTCTTTCTAAAAAATTTTCAGCCTGAGGCTTCCCCTGTGGGAGGGAAGCCAGTCAGTCCCTGAGCCAGGCAGCCCATCTTGAAAAAGGGATGTGTGTGGTTCTGTGTGGCTGTAAATGCATTTACACTAATGTGTAATTCACTACAAACTCAGTATTATTCTGTTCAGCAAAGGATTTCCCTCCCTCACACCAAACTCCAAATAAATGTCATGCTCCTGCTGTACTCCACAGGCAAAATGGGATTCCACAACAGCTCCATTCTGGAACAACTCAGTGGCATTGCTCAGATTTACACTGCATTAGATCAGAACCAGGCCAAATATTTTGAGAGCTGACAAGCAGTGCTGGCTCCATCAAGCCAGGGGAACTACAGTAATTTTGAAGGTAAGTCACAACAAATACATCAATGCTCCCCCTATAAAGCAGCAATGTCCATGTCCACGTTTGTGCTATGTCAGCACAGGAGGAGAAGAAAACAGCAGAGGGTGGCTGAAATACTCAGTCTGTTCTTCCTCCCCTCCTAAGGGCTTGGAAAAGTAGATTGGCTTTGACATTGGCCATCTGTAGGAATTTATTAAGACACTTTGCCACCACAACAAGCTGATATAAAAAAAGCCTTTTTTGGAGGCAGTCTCAGTGGTTAAATCCATTCTAAGTCACAGTTTAACTCTGGCTGTAGCCACATGGAGAACTAAAACTGATTTGGCTGGCCAGGTTGGCCAGCAGATCCATGGATGTTCCCTATTCTGGGCTCCCACTTGGAGTAAGAGCATGGATGGGGCTCACACTTCCAGCAGAATCTTCCCTTTTTGATGGCATTAATAGACAAATATCCAAAGGCACATAAACAGTAAGAAATAACATTCAAGGGACATGCATATATGCTCGTATTTAAATCTAACAGATGGTTGGTGCAGGAGGATGTAGACATGACAGGGCCAGCTGGGCACCTACAGATGGAGCTGTGCTCACCAAACAGCAAAATGTGCAGGCAGCAGAACCTGCATTTATAAAATTTGGGTCTTCTCATCCCCACAGTACTGATGGCTTTTCTCAAAGGAGAGGAGAGTGAAAAGAGCTCCTACCCCTGATAATGAGAGACCAATTTTTTATGAATCCTCTGCAAAGCTCTGAAACAATGAGCACAGGGAAAATTCAGTGTGCAAAGGGGAAAGGAGAAAAAAAGCACAAATTGCATTATTTGGGGAAGTTTTCCTTTTCTGTCTGGTTACAGTGCACAGCAGAGCTGTGTTCTGGGCTACCTGAGCTGCAAGGTGAGGCTGTGGGAGAGCACAGGGCACTTACCAGGGCAGGGTAGGAGGGGTAACCACGGCACTTGGCCCACACGAGCTCCAGGGGCTCCAGCTCAGCCTGGCTCTCAAAGGACATCAGCAGAGGCCTGCCTAAGGGACAGCAGGACACACAGCTTAGGAGCTGTTACCAGCAAGGGGGTTATGGGAACACAAGGAACCACAATCCAACCCAGGCCTCATTGTCTCAGTAGTAATCAACTAAAACAGGTGAACAAGTGCAGTATTTAAAGCACACTGACAAGACAAAAAGGAAAATCACTTGTTTGTATCTATATGAACTGGGTGTTTATGATAAAACTCAGCATGTAGCAAACCCCAGTCTTTATGCTCTGCCAGTACAGTCAGGTTCAGCACTAAGGTAAAGCCACAGTCTCCTAAATAATGGGTCTGTGCATGCATGAGGCTTCACATGAACTCTTCAACACAGAAATGTTAATCAGATTGAGTCACTGAAATCAAATGGCCCCACAAGAGATGGATTTGGTCATAGATATGAAATCAGCCAGCTCCTGGTCCTGGAAAAGGAGTAATTTTCATTAATGAAAATTCTACAGCAAGTACTGCTTGCTCTGGGGAAAATGGACAAATATTGGCATTGAAAACTGAATCTAGAAAATGCAAAGTACAACCCAGAAGGGTTGATCAGACCCCAGGTTGGTCTGATCAGTCAGGACAGATCTGATGTGCTTCTCCACTACTGCACTCCAAATGTATTCTCTCATTAATGAAATTATACTCCAGACCCCAGAACTGTCCCACTGACTCCAGTTCTCATGGCACCAGCCCCACTCTGGGAGCTCATCTCCAAAGCAGACACAAGGTCCAAGACAATAATGATTTCAGAGAGCCATGACAAGAGGCAGCACATGAAGCTGCACAGAAAGGCACAGGAGGACCAGGGCCTCAAAGCTGAATCCTGATCTCAGCACAAACCTGCAATAACTCAATCACTGACACACCCTAAGAAACACAAGAGTCTGGTTGTGTGAGCACTGCTGCACTGCCTTGGGGAGTATTCCAGCAATGTGACAATTTCACAGATGTACAAAACAGCCTGCAAAGACAACTTTGTTACAAAGACCCTGCAAGCAACACAAGAGGGAACAGCTATGAAGTCATCTCCAGAGAGACCCTTCTTTTCATTATGATTTCCTGTTTGTTTTACAGCATCATTAAAGAGAACTAGTCCCAAAACAGGAGTAAACAGTGACAGGCACATTACACACACCAGCCCTAGAGAAAGCAGCCATCCAAGGAGAACACAGGGCACAGGCAACCAGGAAATGTGGAAGCAAGAAAAATGTTGTATGCAATAACCTAAATCTGTAACAAAGCAGGTAAGAGTGCCCAGGCAGGTCCAGCCTGGGTAGTCTGTGCAGGACTGGCTCCTGGTGTGCTTTGAGATGTGTTCCCCCTGGTTCAGGTGGGTCCAGAGCAGGGGGTGCTGGGCAGCAATTCTCACCTGAGCCACTGAAATCAGAGTCTCCATTCACACCCTCCAAGAAGGGCACCCGAGAAAGAGCTGGCTTCCCTCGACTGCGCTTGGGAGGCACCAAACCACTGCCAGGAAGATGAGGAAAAGTAAGGCACTAGGAGAAAACAGATTATCCTGCACAACAAAGACAATGGATTCCCCAAATTGGGTTAAAATACCGAAAAATTGCTGCACTGGTGCATCACTGACATGAAAAGAACATTGAACACTTGTGCAAAATGTGATCTCTGCTGGTGAAAGCACACTGGACATCATGCCAGCTTTGCCATGAGCCTTGAAAAGGCCTCACAGAAACCCAGCTGTAAACTTGGGGAGGAAACCCAGAGCAGACTTCACACCTGAGAGCTGATGTAATGATACCTGGAGCTTGCATGAGCTGCACCAGTTGTGTATAGACTTGAGAGATGACACAGCAGCCCTCCAGTACAACTCCAGTATGAAACTGGACTTTGTCAGCCCATATCCTGAATATCCTTTCACCCCCTCACTACAAACATTTCAGAAAACGGACTACCTCCACCTCAAGCAATCATACTTTTTCACATATTGTAATTTTTTTCTTTTACAGTTTTCTAATAAGCAACCTATTGTAATTTTGGTGCTGGAAAAGAAAGACTGGAGAAAAAGTAGTAAACAGAGCTGTTCCTGAATAGAATAACTGCACAAGTTATCCACAAGACATCAGAAGATGTCAGGTGCTTGCTTTAAGTCTGTTCAGTCATGCTTGAAGTGCCCAGTTCTGGTCTTAAACTTCTGAGAGGAAGAAAGCAGCTGTTTAGTAAGTGGTAAAAGTTCAGCTTTATCTGAAGTGCTGAACTGAAAATCTGAATTCAAGTTTTTCCAAGTTTTGGTTCTCAAGAACTGCATCAGCAGAGAGGACGTGCATGCACTGAGAAAGAGCAGTGTAACACTTGAAAAATCAAGCTCTGCTTTTGGGATCTGCAGCTTAAGAGGACAAGATGAAAACTCAGCAGCTTTTTGTCTTTTAGAGCCAACACACAAGTAAGTAACAGTCTGGGCTGGGTTTGGAACTAAGAAGTCACAGAACAGAAGCAGAGAGGTGAATCCACACACAGAAGGTGTTCCAGGGAACAGTTCTGCACTTACCTGCAGGCTTCAAACACCAGCCCACTGCCCAGGGCAGAGCTGCACTCGGAGTCAGAGCCACTCCCTGCATGCTTTGCAAAGCCATTGGTCACTCCTGCCGAGGAGACAAATGGGAATGACAAGGAATGACCCCTGAGAGCATCCCCAAGCCCAGAGCAGGCACAAGAAGCCAGGTGACCACGGCAATCCCCATGGACCCAGCATCCCCAAACTCCCCTGGGCTCCCACGTCCAAGAGTCCCACAAAGGGCAAATCCGTGGCAAAGCCTCTGCTGGTTTGTTCCAGCTGTAAATATGGGATTGTCACAAAGAGCACACTCCTGGGAAACACCTTGTTGTGAAATCCCCATCACACTGATCTGTTTCTGCAGTAACACAGATTCATCACACCAGACACTGTCTCCAGTTAGGAGAAATCAATTGTGTTTGGAATTGTGGAAGGAGCTGGAGCTGAATCACAAAGCAGTGGTGCAACTCAGAAAAAAGCCAGCTGTGCTGTTTCAGCAGAAGAGAAATGTCACTGTCTATTATCAGTGATTTTCCAGCATCCTGCCTTTATTTTCCCTTTTTTTTAAATTTCAGCCTCTCATTCTGACCTCTACCCAGTGTGGATGACAACTTTCTGCTTTAATTACCAAGAGCTGGTGATGGTGAGTCCCTCCACTCTTTGTATTTCCTTTAACTGGTCCTGACAAGTCAATCCCCACATTCCATTGCCTTCCTCCCAGTCTCAATATTCTTGCAACCTCATGATGTCCAAATAACTATAAGATAATATTTGAGGTTTAGCTAAGTCAATCCTTCCAGATGGGAGCTGTCCCACAATGGCTGTCCACACAGAACTAAAAAAATTACAGTGCTGTCACTCCAATATTCCTTTTCTCTTTTGTCTTTCAAATTTCATCTCAGCTGCTTATTCTCATTTGCTGATCTAATTTGAAAAGGAACCTGCTTGGTATTCCCACTAATTTTATTTAAACTCCAGAAGTTATTTCAAAGTAATGTTTAAGTTACTCCACACTGTGAACACTTCCAACCAAATCATTTCTGCTCTCACTCCTAGGAGTGACCAAGCCAACACAAACCCTTCCACGAGGGCAGGAATGCCAACACCTCAGCCCAGAGTCTCCAGCCAGGCACTCAAGAGCTTTGTAAGCAGCTGGACACATTGGCTTGTCCCATCAAAAATGGAAAATTCCCTCTTACAGCAGCCTGGCAAAGAGGAAAATTACTGGTGACTGCCCTGGGCTTCATCTTGGTACCTTTAAATGTCTAAAATGGAGGTGACTAGAGACAGCCAATGGAGAAGTGCAGCTCAGTATGGACATGTCTGCCCTGTTTATAAACACAGGAGGAGATGCAGCTTTCACCAGGCACATCTGGTTATGAGGACTGTGCTCTCCTCTAAGCAAAAAAGTCAGTTCTGGCTGTGCAGTTTGGATGCAGAAATCTTTACTCAGCCCCAGGATTTCCCCTTCCTCAGCCCCATCTCACAGCTTCCAGAAGGAAAAGGAATCCCAAGGAATTACAGAATCACGGAATCAATAAGAAAAGACCTCTGAGATCATCGAGTACAACCTAGGACCCAACAGCACCATGGCACTGTCCCACCCCGCCTTTCTCACCTCTCTGTGCTGCCTGCCTGGGTGATTTCTCTCCAGTGCTGTCACTGCAGCTCCTGCTCTGGGGCCGTTTCCGCGCCTGTCGCTCCCCGTCGGGGCAGGAGGGTGAGCGCTGCCCGCCCTGCCTGTGCTCCTCCCCGTTCTCCAAGGAGCACTCCAGGCCCCTCTGCAGCTTCACACCGTTCTTGGCTTTTTTAAACAGGACCGATGTCCGGCGGCCCACGCTGCTGAGGGCGGGGCTGGCAGGGCTGTCCGCAGGGGGCAGGGCCAGGCCGTTGAGGCCGTTGTTGGACAGCAGGCGTGTGAAAGCCTGGCTCTCCTGCTGCAGAGCCTTCTTGTCAAAGAGCTCCCTGTCCGACACCATCCTCCTCTGCAGCTGGTTCAGGGGCCTGCTTTCACTGATGGGTTTGAGTGTTGGAGGGTCCTGCAGAGAGTCCAGCTCTGAGAGGGTGGGTGCGGGTCCTGTGGGCTCCAGCGTTGGAGGGTGATGGAGCTTGGCACCATCTGGTAAAGGAATAAAAAATCTGCTTGAACATTGTAGCAAGAATCATTCCCAAAACTACCAACAGCCATTCCCATCTTTCACTAAGGTCACAGGAACAACAGCAGGCTTCGACTGCTGACGAGCACTACAGACCTGGAATCAAAATCCTGCTGCTCACCTTTCTCCCCTTCCTCATCCCCTTCCCTGGATGTTGTCTCCAGCCCCTCCCGTGGCACAGTGTCCCCGTTGGGCAGGGCCTTGCTCTGCTGCTGGGCCAGTTTGTGGCGGATGGAGTTGATCTCGCGCCGCAGGAGCCGGATGCGCCGCGTCCGGGCGCCGCTGGAGCGCATGGTGCTCACCGTGTCCAGCTTCTCCAGCAGCTCCTTCAGCTGGGCCTCCAGAGACAGGTGAGCCCGGTTCTCCGGGTCCAGGATGTTATCCACTGCAGCACAAGAGATGGCAACAGGGAAGGGAAGGAGTAAGGCTTTTTGGAGAAGCATCTGGGGCCAGTGCCAGGCCTCATTCCCTTTGAGGCTGTCCATGAATCAATCGCTTTAGCCTGGGGATTTAGCAGTCAATAACCTTGGAGCTTGGACTTCCTTCCTCTGGATAAAAAGCTGCTGATTCAGCTTGCACTGTCCCTCAGTTCCTGTTACTGCCCCAGGGGCAACAGTGAAAGGACACGTCTGCACCCCACACAGAACAACTTGTGGTCTAGACTGTTGTCAGAAACCAATTTCATTGTCAGATTAAATGACAGTATCAGACCACAAACAAGCAGCCAAAACATGACATATTTGCCATTCCTCTGGCTCTGCTGGAAGGCTGGCATCTGCAGGAGCAGGACAGACAGCTGAACACCTACACAAATTTCAAAACGATTGTCCATCTGCACCCAAGAGGGCTTCAACATTTAGGAGCAGATGGCACACTGCAAGCTCTGCGTGCTTGATGGCTGTATTAAGTTTAGCCAAGTTATCCAACCAGTGCTTTGGAGCTGCATCTCAATAGGGCTGTGGGAATGGATGGGGCTGTGTTGGGAATGGAAGGTCTCAGCTAGGATTGCTTAGGTCCCAGTATCTTCACCCCTCATCATCCCCTTTCAGCCCTCTGTGCTCCATCTAACTCAGCTGCTGTACATCTTGCCAGCTTACAGTGAAATGTATTTAAATGAGCTTTCCCCAGAGCAAAAAAACCCCAGACCCACCTTTGCACTGCTCTTTAAAACAGTGAGTTTGTATGACATTCCTGGCACAAATCAAAGAGCATGGGCAGTCTACAAGGCTCTGCCAACACAGACATGCACTATTAGAGCTGGAGCTAAGCTGTACCTAGCTCAGAGTGCCCAGCTCACCTGAAATCCCACACTGGGGTTCTAAAGGAGTTCTCCATATACCTAAACAGATGGATAGGGAAATTCTCATATGCAGGATAGCTACGATTTCCATGCAGGCTGAAATCACGACGTGCTCAGAACTACAGCTATGACCTGCCTGAGGTGAATAAACCATCAATCAGTACTCACCATCCTCCCAAGAAAAGCGGTAAAAGTCGTGGGGCTTGGGCGACTCAGGCAGGTGAATCCCCACGCCAGTGTCAAAGCCGATGCTGTCGGCCTGGCGCCGCGCGTGACGCAAAATCGCTCCCCCGAGGTCCCGGAGCCGGACAGCTGCTCGGTGGAAAATCGTGTCTTTAGCATTATACCTCATGCAGTTGGCAACTATAAGGTTAAAGTCTTCCTCAAACTCATCCAAGGTTCGGTACAGGTGGGACTCCAGCTTCCGCCTCATGGTGGAAAAATCCATTGGGTTGGAAATGAATTCCAGGTAATCTGGAACCTAAACATATAAAACCTGTACAATTACAAAAACCATTTACTAGCCAACCAGAGCGCACCCATCACAAGCACTCTTAATGCCCTTTCCACTGGCAAGGGGCAGCAACAGATGTTCATTTCTGTGTCACCCAGGCAAGGCAGACACACCCTAGCTCTGCAAAATATTACTCATTCAAGATGTGCTAAACTTCCAGAAAAAAATACCCTTTTTTTGGCCTGGAAGGATACACACATCATGAGTCCTTTTTGAGATAGTTTTTAGTCCACCAGCAGCTTGGGACAAGGTGGTTTGTGCTTCTGCCCAGCAATATCTCATCTACAACCCATTAAACACCTCTAGGAAAGAGACTTGCCTCGTTCAGGTTAACGGGCTCTGTGAAGATCTGGGCAGCATCCTTCTCCTGCAGCAGGTCCAGGGTTGTACGGAGCAGAACATTGAAAGGGGTCAGCTGCAGCTCCATGGCAGCCTGCTGCACCTTCACCTGGCAACAGGAACACAACAGGAACTCACTGAGGGCAGGAACTGGGAGTGGGGTCTCCCTCCAGATTCTTCTGAATCTTCCCCCCAGCTTTACTCCGTGCTGGAAACCTCAGGCTAGCATCGTTGTAGAACTTCTGGCAAACACCTTGCACTCTCCATGGACATTGCCCAGTCCAATCCTTTCACATGGGGAACTCCTGTGTATTCAATCTCACAAAATCAAAACAAGAGGAAGCCCCAAGAAAATAAAGGATACTACCATTGAAAAGGAAAACAGGTATTTTACACTTGGTAAATTATCCTGGAGAACTCCCTGCCTCAAGATATTGTTATTATGCCAACTAGCAATATTATATAAAAATTAAAAGTATGCAGGCATTTATATGAACAACAACTTCCATAATTAGAGAGCAAAAACAAAGTTTAAGTCATAAGCTCTCACACTTCAGGGCAGAAATCAAACAACAGTGGTTAGATAACTGCAAATTCCTAATGCAGTTCCTTCTATTCTTTAGTCTCTAATACTGTTTGATTTCATGCAAACAAGTTGTAGCACTGAAAATCTATTCAAAGAACACTGGAACAGGATAAAAGTATTTATTCATCCTTTAACATCTCCATTTCTTTGATCTTATAATCACTTGTTATGTCATTAAATCAACACTTCAGTAACGAAGGTAAGTAAGTCTGTTTACACAAAGCAAACTGTATTTGATGTGCTCAGCAACAAGGCAGCATCAATGAGACAATGAATACAGACAGGTATAAAGACCACACTTTTCCCCCAAAACAGGAAAACAGCCAAACAGAGATGCATGATTCTGGAGCATCCTTCTGCACTCACCTAAAAGCTGGGTTGGGATAGAGTCCAACTAGATACACTTCTCTGTGGTATTTTATGTTTTTAAAAAGCACACCACAGTTTCCATAAGCTTTTATGGATTTAGCCAGCTGTTATATCAAGATATCAAAAACAAAACAAAGCCCAAGAATGATTTTTGTTTTTTTTAATCCTCCTACCTAAAATATGTTCACACAGCAATGAGGGCTGAGCCACTGATGTAAATCAAGGACAATGCAGCAAATGAACCATCAAGAGGACTCCAGAAAAGCTGTGGGTAGTTTCTGGCCATAAAAAAAATTGCTCTCAGAGGAGCTGTGATCACAGAGGATGCTGCTTTCCTTCTTCCCTGCAGACAGCCTGGAAGCACCCAGGCAAGGCCTGAGGATGTGCACGGGCTCAGGGTGTGCCCAGTGAGCCTTTCCTGGAGCTGTCCTGGAGGATACTCCAGCCAGAGAGCACAGCTGTGGGTGCAGCAACCCATAAGGACAGCAAAGACAGGCAAGGCTGGCAAGCACTGGAAGCAACTGGTGAAACTTTGGAGATGTGCATATAGGTCAAATGAGAAATTGGAAAATTTAGTAAATGGTTTCCATCTTAAAACTTTTTCTCCTAAAAATGTCCTTAGAGGACAAACTACAGGAATTTTTAGCTTTAGAAATTAAGAGTTCAATTGTGATTTAGACTTCTCTCTGGAGAAGGTGTTACCAAACCCCTGGAATAATCATGAAGGAGCTAACTTCTACTCTGCAAAACACTTGGTCCATGCCCAGAAATAGAAGGGGTTCTGTAGGTCAGGAATCAAATCCACTATTAATGATACAAATATATCTTGCCAGCACTCTGCAGCCCAGCCCTGGTTCTGAGGGCAGAGGCTGCACAGTGCAAACCCGTGACTGGCACAGGGAGAGGTGGCTCTGCACACCCAACAGAACCTGGGAGAAGAGGAAAAGGCTCCAGAAAAACTGTGGTGCTCCTCCTGAGCCTCCTGCAGCACAGAGAGCTTGCATGGGACTGAAGTTAAGAGCAGGAACTGGACAGGCAGAACTCAGAACTCCCCACCTGCTCCCGTTTGAGCTTTTCCCTCTTTCGGATGAGCTCGATGAGCAGCCGAGCCCGCTCCAAGTCATGCCGGAGCTTCTGCCAGTACTTGAGCTCCTCCTTCACTGCACTCGTCTTCTCATCCTGCTCCTTCTGCAAGATATAAGTGGGGTGAGATAAAAAAACACCACAGGCTTCCTGTGTTTCCTTCTTTTTCTAGGAATCCTCTGGGAATTGCTCTCAGAGTCTTCTTCTTGCCTTGTCTCTTTTTTTTCAGACCATGTCCCCTCCTTCCTCCACCATTTAGTTGTCTAACAGAGAGAACATCAGCTTTTCTAGATTTTACCTTATCTGTGAAATTACCCCAAATTATCCTGCAGCTTCACCCTGGGAACACACTTCAGTGCATACCCATTTACACCCTCCCTGCTTTTACATCCAGGTTTATTACAGAGGCTGGAAATTTTGCTGTGCATTGGAGCAGCAGTCCAAAGCATTTATAGTCTCAAGGGAAGGCAACTCAAAGCAGGGGAGAAAAGAGCTATTCTGTAACCCACAAAAATAGAGCCATGGAAAGACATTTGCCAAGAATGGCCAACACTGGGAGATGAGCTCACACCTTCCAAGACACAGTTCAGTGGCTTCACAACACAATCATCCTTCCTTTCCTAAATCTGTAGATTTTTTAGTGATTTGGATGATACAGCTCAAGTGCATACATTTCCACATGTCTGCCAAGAGGACCATTACTTCACAAGATCTTCATGGTTTATATTAATAGGACATTTGCTTCTAAGAACTTATGGTAAATTGCCAATGTAATACACCAAGGAAATGCTGTACTTTCCCAAGCTCTGCACTGATGAGTGGGGAATAATTTCTTTATTTAGTGCCCAAAGCAGTCTTCCTGCAAACTAAAAGCCTATAAATTCCTCTAACTACAATAAAGATATACATGCACATTGTACACAGTCCCTGCTGACAGGCTGTGTTAGAGGGTAGAGTTCTGCTGCTTCATTACTTCAGCAACCACTTCTCATGCCAAACGCAGTGTTGCTTAATAGCACCACGATAAAGTGACTACAGATGCCAGCTCAAAAGAGGAAGCAAAAGAGTCCAGAGCTGATTATTATGTCTAAATGTGCATGGGATGGAGAGAAATTGAAGCTGCAGGAAGAATGACCCAAACTGGAATTTAGCCATAACTCTGGAGTTCAAACCCATTTCCTTTACTCACTCCAAGAAATGTGATTTTATCATTCATATAAGAGATCATTCCACCAAGGGCCCATCACACCCTTGCACAACCCTGGGTATTCTGACTCAGGGGGAAAGCTCCTACCTGTTGTCTCACCAACACCAACTTTAGTGGCATCATGGATATCCCATAACACACTAACTCCGTTCTTCAGGCATAAGAGACCAAGACAGACTGAAATCGAATCTTCCCACCCTCACTCCCCTCCCCAGCCACGTGTCAAGCTCATGTCCTGCTGGCAGCCCTGCTGTGTGTGCAGCCAGGTGAGCTGAGTGGGAGCACTGGTACCTGCTCGCCGTTCCTCTGCGACTGCAGGTGCGAGTGCAGCCGCCGGATCAGGGGCACCCCGTTCCTCGCCTGCCGCTTCAGCAGCCAGTAGTTGTGCAGCCTCTGCATGAACTGGTTCTTCCTCTGCAGGGACAGCCCACTGCACATCTTGTTCAGCCTGAAGGAAGCACAGAGTGTCATAGAGCCAGCTGTAAAGCAATCGTGGCTTTGCAGACCTTTGGGTCTCCTGATGGAGCTTTGCAGTGTTGTGTCAATGCTCACTCTGAAGTACACACGAACTGGGACAATCTGGGAACTCCTCACACACGACAGATGGGGCCTCTTTTCATACTGCAGGGTCCCACCAAGCACTTACCACAGCACAAAGTATGAAATCATCATTTCAGCTCCAAGCCTTAATTTCTAAACTACTTTCCATGTTAAGAACATTCCAGGGGCGATTTAAGTTTGATGTTATTAGTCATTGGACCCTGGGAAATAAACTTGGCAGGAGTCCAAGAATAATAGATCACCTATTTTAACCTTTGCTTACCATTTTTACCTTACACATGGTGCCTTATCAGCCTATCTGGTAAAACAGACACATCAACACACTTCCTAAGGCACCAAACAAAAATTCAGCATTACCTATTTCTGCATGAGGGAGAGCTGGGAGAAAAATACAAAAAATACAGCCAAAGTCAAAGCTGCTTGCAACACTGGCAGGTTTGACATGGTCTGAAATAAAAGGAGGAATTAAGAAACTATGAAATGAGATCTCAAAAATTTTGATAGTGGGATGACCCCTACCTGCCTACCAACCTGTAATGCATGAAGTATTTTAAAAATGCCTTCATGGTAGATGGGTGTTTGCCATTAGAGACCACCACAGAGTCTGCATTACACACCAGCTTGGGATGGCTGCTCAGGAAAGCCAGAAAACCACAGTGAAACTCAGCTGCAGAGCACTCTGATCACAGTTACTGCTAAGCCTTGACTGAAGATTCAGTGTTTCCAAGGTCAACAGTGAGAGAGACTGAGTCCTTAAAACAGCCCCTGTTCAGCTACAGCTGTCCAACTCCTTCCCTAAACCTGCAACACTCACCTGTAAGAGGGAATTTGTGCAACAGTCACCACGGGCATGGACGAACGCCCTTTGGTCACGTCACCAGGCTCCTTTTTGATCTTTTGCTTCAATTTCACTTGGTTCTTCTTCACAGACCCTTTGGGAGGGCCAGAATTGGCTTCCTCCTCTTCCTCCTCCTTCACAGTGACCTCGTGCCCATCACCACCAGCAGCTGGAGAGCCTCTTCTCACCGTGCCAGGCGGGGAGTGGCTCTCACAGTAGGCAGTCTTGCGCACGGTGAACGTCGTGCCGTTGATGCTGGTCTCCCTCATGGGCTCAATCTTCATGAAGAGACCGGCTCTCTGTGCACAGGTGACGTGGAAGGCAGTGTAACAGTTCACCTTGTGGCATTGGATAGCAGCTCCCATGCCCTTCTGCTTGCAGATACAGCATGTGAGCTTCCAGCGAGCTGGAGGGATGTTATTGATCCCTTCGATGGGCTCCAGGAACACAGTGTTTGCAAAGCAGACCTCAGGGATCCAGATGGCACAGACCACGTGAGCCCAGCGGCCATCACTGGTCTGCTTGAAGGCTCCCCCTTTGTTCGGGCAAAGGACACAATCCACAGGGCGAGAAGGGGACTGTAAACAGCAGCGGCAAAGCCACTGCCCCTCGGGGATGTAGGGCACACCATAACACTCCTGGTGCACGGCCAGATTGCAAATGTCACAGAACAGGATGACATTGCTGTTGTGACACTCATCGTCCATGCAGACACAGCAGAAGGCATCCTCATCAATGAGGGACTGCTGAGCCCCGTTGTTCCGGCTCTCAAGGTATGACTCCTTTTCCAACCGATCCACCAGCAGCTCAAAAGTGTCAGCAGAAACTGTCCCATAACCATCAGCCCTTCTCTTCTCGTTGACCATCTCCAGCCATGCCAGATCCTCCTCATCCATGTCATACTCCACTTCTCCGTCGAGGTCCTCGGGAGGCTTCTCAATGTACCGGTAGTAGGCAGCAGGGAGGGGAGGGGCATCTGGCTGGCTGAAGGAGTCCAGCACACGGAACTTGGGCTGGGGCAAGTGCAAAGACATCCCCGGCGCATGTTTGGAACAGGAGTCCTTCTTTTTGCCTTTGGAAGGTGTCTTCTTCGATTTGGAAGTGAAGAGGGGCTGCTCGCTGTTCTCCTTGTTGCTGTTGCACTCGGTGATGTCCTGGGCTGTCAGCTCGTCCTCGGTGATGAGCTTCAGGGGGTCGTAGATGCTGATGCGATGGAGCCGCCCGTCGATGTCCACCTCCACAATGCGCTGTGCCTGGGCGTAGGTCAGCGTCTCCCGGCTGGGGGAGCACTTGAGGCTGTAGGGCGAGGGAGAACGCCTCCCCTCCAAGTGCTGCCGGCACCTCCTCCGAGGTTTCCTCATCCCTGTGGTGCTCAGACCCTGGGACACAACAGGACAGAGGACACGGTAAGACAAGGAGACAAGCAAAAGCAGCACGGACTCAAAAACTCACTCAACGCTGCAACAGAGAATTTCTACCAGAGACTCCAGCAATTTCAGGCTCGTTGAGTCTTTACACCTTAGATACTTAGATATACCTTTGATATATCAGCCATTTCTTGCAATGTGTACCGGAGCAATGCACAGCACCCTCCAGCTTCCTCTCTTTGCACCTCACCCAACCATGAGTGAGAAAAACTCAAAATAATTTGACAGCACAATATACAGTCTGCTGTGCACCCAGATCAGCAAACCATTCAGATGCCCTGAAATTCAAACAATGTTGTTCACTTCTTGCACCATTCACATATTAAGCTCACACAAACCAACGAGTTCTCCTTTGCTCTTTTGCCTGTGACTTTTCTTTTATATCCCCAAATGTGCTGGATGTTTTCCAGGAGAGAAGGAATGCACCATTCAGGTCTTATGAAAGCAGCTTCCAATTTAATTTTTTTTGTCAGCTCCAGATAAGAAAACGAATGGTTCTCCCTGAGTCCAGGAGGGAGCTCCTCCAGGTTTCACAGCCCAGAGCTGCCACCACCAATCCTTCCATTCTGACACTGCAAATGCAAAAAGTGCCATAATGAAAAATCATCCTCCAGCTTTGCTTTTCCTTCTCTCAAGGGTCACAAACAGAACCAGGAGATGAACTGAGCAATGTAGCAGGGATCAGATGTGCATCTCTTCTGCTCTTCCACGAGGAAGCTAAGAGGGATGAACACGGCAACAAGCAGCATGGATCCCAATGGACTTACAAGCCACAATTCCACTCATCCACCTGAGCACCTGGCTATGGAGAGTCCACAGGGCTACAAGCAGGAAAGCAGCAAGACAGCTTCCAGTACCAGCAGTGTGAAATGGCATTTGCTCAGTGCCTTAACAAAAAGCCCCAGCCAGCTCTGCCTGCACAAACTGCTAATCAGCAAGGCAGATAATTAGCTGAGAGTCGGCTGCTGACATTAAGGAGGTGCCTGTCAGAGGGGAGCAGAGGGGAGATGGTTTGGGGGAGGATTCAGACATGGTGGCAGCAGCTCGGTGATCGGAGGGCGAAGGAGGGAGCTGGCAAAGAGGGAAGGCAGAGAGGAAGCCAAGTGAGTAATGCAAGAGAGAAGGGCAGAGTCAAGGATGGGAACATGACTTATGGGAATAAACAAGCTGAGGCTGAAAGAAGTCGGAAAGGAGACAAAGAAAAGCAAATGTAAATTCTCTGTGAGAAGATAAGCCAGCCCAGAGCTTATCTGTTGCTATGCAGAGGCCTGAACCAGCACCTCACCCTTATTTAAAGCAATCCACACACTCAGTCCCTTTCTGTGGGACCACAGACAAGGAAACACACCACAAACCCACAATTTGTACTCAGCCAATGCAGTATTTGTGCTCCAAGAAGGACATAGTTCCAAAAACTCTTAACTGTGTGTCACAGCAAGCAGCATCTCACAGGACCAGGACCTAGAGAAGTCCAAGCTTATTCCAGAAAAAAGGAGAAAATTCCAGGAGCAATACTTTTTTCAAGTACTGGTTCTGTGAACCATGAGATTAATCCATGACACCACCTGTGTCTTAAGGAACAAAAATGCTCTGGGAAAGATTTCCAAACTCTTTCCTGCATCCACAGAAATAAGCTGCAGGTGCCAGTTTCAGTATGCAGACCCATAATGATGGAGCCTGTAAACACAATTTTACTTCACATATAAAATAAAAGATGATAATTTCTACCTGCAAATATAGGTACCAGGAATTTTGGTGGTACCTTTGCCTTAAAAATTTAATCAGTCACTTGATCCACACACTGCAGACACCCAACTGCACTCATCCTAGCTGAATCCCAATGGCTTCAGTCAGTAGGAAAGAAGAATTTTAAAAAGAGGTTATAAAGGCAAGTTGATCATCAAATGAATTAAAAAAAAAAAAAAAAGAAAATCCTGCTGACAAACAGCTCTGTTACAATTCAGGCTGGTACAAGCAAAGAGAATATTGCAGGCAAAAAGATATATGGAGGATAAAGTAATTATTATGAGTACACATCATTAATATTGTGTTCAGGAAAAATGAGGCAATAGCCAATTGCTTGGAATACTGAGGGACAAGGAAATTTCAGTGAAACAAGCACCTGAAGGAAGGGCTGTTTTATCTGTTAATGGGAAAAACAAGCATGCAGAGCTCCTTTACTGAAACAATCAGTGTATTTCTAGACAAATTACCCCAAAGTGGGCTTTGCACCACAGCAACCAACTGCCATAAAACAACCATTTGTAAAATACACAATTACTTAGCACTATGAAAAAGCATCTAAAACGGCATGGAAATTGCTGCCAGTGATAGCTGAGTGCCTGGAATGAGATGTACACCTGGATATTAGGAGAGACACCTCCAAAATACCTTGAAAGCAGCAATGAAATCAACTCAGACATACTGAGCTGAGAGCTGTGACCTTGTCTACAACAACAGAAACTTCTAAGCAGCAACCTAGGAATGTTTTGATTCCCTCAGCACACTTGAGAACACCTCCCAGCTGCACATAAAAAGGAATCCCTCTGCAAACAGCACCTGTGCACACTGAAATGCTAAAGATGAGTGGGGTTAAATGCTATTTCAGCCCATGTTGATTCTGCCCTGCCATGGACAAAGGTTGCTGATGTGAAAGCAGAAAGTTCAGACATCCCTTTGCCATTGCCACAACATGCTCAAGGCATTCCAAAAAGCTCCTGTCACCCATTTCTACTGGGGATTACAATGGGAGCAGGGGGTGACGTTCCCAGAGAGCACAACTGAGCAAACAAGGTGGCTACAACTCAATGAGCTGCTGGGGATTAATTTAGCTCTACCCATGGAGCTCCTTCAGGAGTGGTTTGATTCTCATGAACAGCAGTTTTCCCACCTGTGGGCACTAGGTGACTGAAAAACCAAGCCCATCATCAGGATACTTAAATTTCCTAGAAAGGAGGCTAAAGCTCCCCTGAAAAAGAGATAAACATGTATGGAGCAACATCACAGGCCCCTATTATACACACAGCCTGGAATATTGAACACAAGTGGGTCCTCTGAAGGAAAGACTGTGATTTCCACCCATGCAATGCTGCCTTGGCCACCTCCAAGGGTCAGAAATCCTTTTCTCACACTGCAGAAGAGCTCAGTCTCCTTCCCAACTCTCCTTCATGCTGCAGTCCTTCCTTCCAGCTTTCCCCTGCTGAACAACCAAGCTCTCACTTTACAGCACCAGGTTTCTCATGTGCAGAGGATGCAAGGCTGGAGCACAAGGCAGTGCAGCTGGGGGAGCTTCCTGGCCCTTTCTTTTGGCATAGCTTGGTGATCCCAGGAAAAAACGAGGTCCTTCAACAACAAAGAACTTCAATGACTTGCAGCTAAAAGGCCACCTGGAGCTCAGTGTGCAGCAGAAGATGGGAACAACATGGCTCTTGTTGGACTCTGGTGCACCATGACTACTGACAGTGGCTACAGCTCCTATAGTCCTAAAGAGTTTGGGGTTTGTTGTTACCAAAGGCTGCCCCTCTTTGGGACACCAAACCAAACACAAGGTCTGAAGGTGTTCCTCAGCACTGCTCTCCTGCACCAGCAGCCACTGGGATTTAAAACCCACTGTGTGGAACAGACACCCATGGAGCTATTTAAGAAACACATCTGGAAAATAAAGCCAATGGATGCCAGAGGAAATAAACAACCTAGAACAGTTGCAGGCCCCTCGCCACCTTTTGCCAAGCGAAATGCCAGCAAAACTCCTGCTGCTGTCCACAATGTCCCTTCATGTTCCTGCTATGTCTTTGCTTGCCACAGGCCCGTGGTCCCCTCACACAACTGCCAAAGGTTTATGCTCCTCACACCCACATTGATACCTACAACGAAATGCGCCAGTGCTCAACAGATGTCATGTGCCCTGGCACATGCAGCGATATTGGTCTTTATCAATGCCCTGATACTTCTGTAACCAAGTCAAGCTGACTGGAGATGCACCGGCCCCGAGAGAGGCTCTCCCTCTGGTATGGGGCTGTGGAAAAAGTTTCAGGTATAAAGTCTGGGCTCAGCAACAGATGGGGTGCGCCATGAGCGGTGTCTGACCTCAGCGGCAGCGCTCCGAGGGAACTGTGATACGGCACGAGCTGTGTCCGGCCCCAGCAGCAACTGAGGGAACGGGGACATGCCCTCAGCTGTCAGGCACCGGCGGGAGCTCCTCTCAGGAGCCAACCCGCGCACCGAGGGCTCCCTGCAGGCAACTCCAAGATCTGGGCCAAGGCACAGCAGGGACTCGGACAGACAGAAAGCCGTCCCGGGGGAAGGAGAAGGCGGTGAAGCCCGGCGGGACGAGCAGCAGCGCGGTCCCAGAGCGCGGCCACCGCTCCCCACGGAACTGCCAGAGTCTCCAGAGAGAGGGAGCGGGCGGGGGCGAGCAGCGCGAGCGCAGCGGGGCTGCAAGGCCATTGGCTGCCGCTGCCGTCCATCACAGCGCCACCACCAATAGCAACGCGAGGCTCTGAGGGGCTAATGGCGGGCGCGCTCGGCCCCGCCTGGGCCAATCGCGTGGGAGAAGGTGGGCGGCACCCCCGCCGCGCGGCGAAGAAGGGGGGGCCAAGATGGCGGCAATGGGGGGGTTCGGCTGACACGGCGCTGCCCGTTCCCTGTTCCCAGGCGCTCGCCGCCGCTGCTCCCTCCTCGGGAAGGGATCGCGGGCCGCTCCCGCCGCACAGAGACGGAGCGGAGACGCGGGAGAGGCCCGCAGGCTGTGGCGCACCGGCCTCCCCCAGCTCCTTCCCGCCCGCCCGGTCACCTTCCCGCGACCCCGGCGCGGGGGTGTGTGAGGGAGGAGAGACCCCTGAAGGAAGGGTGTCGCGGCCTCCCGCGCAGAGCTTTACCTGGCCGGCTCAGCGCGCCGCCGCCGCGGCTTCTCCACCGTTGCTGCCGCCTCCTTTTGGGGGGATTTTTTGTTTTTGTTTTTCTTTTTCTCTTTTTTTTTCTTTTCCTTTTTTTTTTTTTTTTTTTTTTAATTCTCTCCGCCTCCCCCTCCCCTCCCCCCTGGGGCGGACGGGCTCACCCAGCCGGCGGCGGGAGGGGAGGGCACAAGATGTCGGCTCCGTCCGCTCCGGCTACTGCCGCCTCCTCATTGCCGCTGCCGCCGCTGCTCCCGCCGCTGCTCCCGCCGCTGCCGCTCCGGCCCCGGTGCCGCTTCGCCCCCCACCACCCTCACCTCCCCCCCGCTCCCCCCCCGGGGCTCCAGCGCCCCCGACGCTCTCGGTGCTGTGGAGGCGGGGGGGAGCAGGGGACACACGCTCAAGATGGAGGCGGCGGCGGTGGCGGCGCGGGCCGGCCGAGCGGCGGGGAGAGGCGGCAGCCAGCGGCCAGGCGGGGGAGGGGGCTCCGCGCTCCGCTCCCCCCGCGGGCAGGCACCGCCCGCCCCTCCCCGGTGCCTTCCCACACCCGGGCCGCGCCGAGCGGGAGGCCCCCGGGGGCTGGTGGTGACGGGAGGGCGGGGGGTCCCTCCGCGCTGCCCTCATGGCTTAGGCGGGGGCCGCTGCTGCCCGTGGCCCCCTCCGTGACTGACGAGGCAGCACCGGGGAGCCGCGGCCTCCCGGCGGCCGGAGCTACCCCTGCTCCTCGCCTGCCCCTGCATCATCCGCGGGGTTGGGGTTTGGGAGTTCGGGTATGGCCGTGCGGGCCCATCCCAGGCCGGTACCTCACAGCCGGGAGCCGTCAGGCCACGGGAAAAGAGGTGGGATTGTTGTCCCAGGCTCATCTCGGGTGTCTTCATCTTGCAGCCCACTTTTTTTGCAGCAGGTGTGGGGTCCCACGAAACACCCTGGAGCATCGCCAGGTGCCAGAGTCCAACCCGACTACACTCCCAGAGAACCTTGGCCTGCCACAGTTAGTCTAAACAAGCAACATCAAACAAACGATGTAAATTGCAAGAGCCTGTATTTATTTTGTAGACCAGTATTTCAGGTGCAGAGACGTGTGACAGGCTGGAGGGACAGTGAGAGAGGGACTGAGGGGATAAAGCAAGAAAGAAGTTATGTTAGCAACTGAACTAAGATTTGAGATAGGAATTGCAGAGGCTCCCACACTTACTTTTTATAGAGCATGGCACATACTTGAGCATATGTGTGTTCCACCTCCCACTCTGCGCAGAGTATTGCATAATATCACCATCTGAATTTATAGAATTAACTGTTTTAGAAGGAAGCGATGAATGCTGTTTTCCCTCATTTACAGTCCAACTGGAGATCTTTTGTCTCTTAACGTATGTTAACCACGGAATCCGAGAGCAGCCAGTCTGTGACAGTTTGTTTTGCAAATACTCCTGTTGGGCCAGAGCTTGTTGCAGCTTTAAAAGAAATGGCAAGCATGTTCCTTACTGCTGTACAGTCTTTACATATCACCTTTGAAGTATATGCTGTGTATATATGGTGTCTACTTTTTTACAGGTCTACTATTTACATACCAAAACTTAAATAATAATCTATTCTTGTCTTGCATGAAAAATTGCATATCAAGGATTTAGAAATAAAGTCCCAATACTCTCACTGATTTACAAATGATGTCACCCTCAAAAGAGCAGCTGTATAATAGTATGGTCCTGGCCATGAAAGATAAAACAAACCCTAAAACAATCTATAGCTGCATTTGCTTCCTGGTTAAACAGTAAATAAAATAATTTCAATAATTG